CTTTATAGAATTGTAAGAGATATTGTTGAAGGTTTAAAATGTGAATATTATTGCACAAATGTATGATGGTGCTGCGGTGATGAGTTGGTATTTAAGTAGGCTACAAGTTAAAGTGAAACAGGCATACCCTAATGCACTATTTGTGCACTGTTTTGCTCATAAATTAAATCTGGTATTTTCTCTGACAATTTCCATAATTAAAAAATGTAAAATATTTTTCAAAACTTTAACTGGTTTATAAACATTTTTCTCGCAGTCTCCTTAAATGTTTCCTTGTTCTAGACAGTTAGGTTAAAAAAAGTCTTCCAAACCAACTTCCACTAGATGAAATTACAATAGTAGATTAGTTCAAAATGTGTATGAGTATCGAGAAACTCTTATAAATTTGTTTGAAAATATTGTCGAAGGCGACAGTGTTAGGGATGCATAAACTCTCACGCCCAAGAGGATATTTATAGTTACTGAAAATAGATTTCGGTTTCAATTTTCTTATTGTTGCTTTTAATGAAATTTTCCCTTAACACAAAAGCTATTCAATATTTTGCAAAGTAAGAGTAATGACGTTGAATATTGTATAGAAAAAAAATTTAGAACGTAATGAAAGCAAAAAGAGATTGTTTTGAAGAACTGTTCACACCATCCGGCCACAAGTTTCATAGAATTGTCGAACAAAATGGCAAATTGTCGAGTTGTTTATTCTCTTGAGAACTCCATTCCTCAGGAGGAAACATTTTCCAGGACCGTCAATTTTTAGAACACCACCAACAATAACATTTGCAACATAACGACCATTTACATCGATGTATTTATCCACGGACAAGTCTTTTGATATTTCATTCGTATTTTATTGAGCACCTCTTCACAGCACACGGTTAAATAATGTTTTAAATCATGTCTCTTTTATGTTTTCAAAAAAATCACAATTGTAATTTTTGTGAAAGCTCTCGCACGTCGTTAATATTTTCATTACCGGCGATTTGAATGGACATTTACGAGTAAATGTATTTCAAATGTCCTATGAAGTTTCTTAAAAACACTCACGTTTTCTGTAAAAAGCTTTACAATGAAGCTTCTTCAAACATTATTTGTAAAAAAGATTTACAATAAAGTTTCTCCAAGAATAAAGAGATTCCGGTGAAAAAGAGCTTCATATTTTCCATTTACAAAAACTCTTAAATGACATTTTCTCAAAAACCGCCGCGCAAAGATATCTTTTCTTCAAATCTCCCATTTTCTAATAGAAGAACCAAAATATTTCCTTAAGAATATTAAAGAAGAGTAAAAATGTGTCCTAAATGGTAATTTTCATTGAAACATTTGGAGGCGTTTTTAGAAAAATAGTGTTTAAATAGTGTAAATGCGAAATTTGAATCTCTTTTTCTCAGAATACTTTAGAGTTTTCGAAAACTTCTTTTGATGTCATTTCAAGCACTTTCACTCACAAATGCAATAGTTATTACAAATCATTGAAAATGTACATGTGTATTGACGACAAGACCTATTCAAAAAAAAATTACGTTTTGTTTTTAAAACAACAACAAATGAATAACCCAAAATGAACGTATGGCATATTAAATAGTGCAATTGGCATTATCGGTTGGAAAAGTATGAAGTAAAAATTGGAGCCATTTTGTGAAAATGTCGTTTGAGCCTTTCTGAAAATGCGGTTTTTGAGCTAATTTTCACAGAAAACTGTTGTGTTTTTGAGATGCTTTACCTGACATTATTTATAGCACACGTACTTGTAAATGCAATAAGATGAAGAAATCGCCGCGAATGTAAATATTAACGATGTGAAAGCCTAGTAAAATAATACATTATTGTAATTTTTGAAGAAAGAAAACAAAAGAATATAGCAATATGGCGTCATCTCATAAAGTACATTTGGTACTATGTCCACCAAAAGTTTAAAGAAACAATTTAGAGCCGTTTTGAAGAAAGATTGTTTTTGCAATTTTTTAAAATTGTACATAAAACTACGAAAAATTACAAATCATATACATCACCTCTATGAAAGACTTAATATGGATTACAAATTTCAATTGAAGGAAAAATCTTTATATTCAATTTTGTATTTGTACGAAGATGCAGAAGAAATTACAATTAAAAATTTTCAAAAATTAAGAGTAAAATCTGAAAATCATGCCACCTATACATGTATTTTACTCTCTTTTTAACAGAAATTTAAAGAAAAAATCGGAGCATTCTTTGAGAAAGTTTTGAAAATGTCTCGGAGCTTCAAGTAAAGCACTCCCAAATTTTAAAGAAAGTCAAAACCTCAAAGCTTTGTCTAGAGCCAATTTTCTTCAAAATGGATATTCCCCGGCCGATCTGGCTTCACTCGAGGTGCAGTGATTTTGAAAAGTTTTCAACGTTAGAGGGTACTTTATGTCAAGTCCCCAGACATTTTCAAATTTTTTTAAAATCTGCTGCAAATTTTTTCTTTAAATTTTTTGTAAGACTAGAGTAAAATACACCTATGAAGGTGGCATACGTCCAATTTTCACGGTTGACTCTGAATTTTCGAAAATTGCAAAAGGTTTAGTTTCTTCCTAGATCAACAAAATTGAAGACGTTTTTCCTTCATCTAAAATTTGTTGTTCATAATTGGTTCTTTCATTATGGTCATGTACATTCTTTTACAAATTTTAATAGTTTTCGCCCCATATTTGCAATTTAAAAAAATTACAAAAACAAGATTTTCTCAAAATTATTTCATTAAACTTTTGGTAGGGATAGTACTAAATGTATTCTATGAAATGACAAACTTCAGTTTGCTTTATTTTTGCTTTTTCACAAATTACAAAAATGTTATTGTTTTGAGTTCTCTCACGTCACGATATTTACAATAGCGGCAATTTTGTCCACATTATTATATTTATGAGTAAATTTGCTTTGAATAATGTCATAGAAAGTTTCTCGAAAACAACCGTTTTCTCTCTGAAAACTAGCTTAAAATCGCGAATTTTCAGAAACGCTCAAACGCCAATTTCTCTAAAATGCATTCAATTTTTTTCTCAAACTTTTCAAACGGATGGTGCTAATTGCAGTCTTTAATACGACGTAAAGTTAATTTGGAGGAATTTTTTGTCTTTTCAAAAATTTTGAAATGTAAAAATCTATTTATTTACAGATCTCTCACGCCATTAATTTACACATTTTGAGCAATTTGCTAACAGTGGTATTTGTGAGTGAATATGCTTCAAATTACTTATAATTAAGTTATTCAAAAATTCAAAACTTTTCTGTGAAAAATAGCTTCAAATTTGGAATTTAGTTGCGTTTAAATATTTTCTTACAAACGGCTCCAAATTGTTCAATGAAAATTGCCATTTAGGACGAGGTTTTACTGCTCTTTAATATTTCTAATATATTTTTGATTAACCATTAAGTAATCGACACTTTTAGAATTTTTTTAAAAAATGTACCTGGGTCGGCGATATATATCAGCTGGCATGAGTATGTGGCAAGTCCGAATAGTTAGCCGAGGTCAAAGGTAATAGAAAACTAATACGGGAAAAACTGTGCCATTCTTCTTTTTTTGTTTTTGTGTTTCCGCAACATTTTATAACTTTCTCTATACTTGGTAATACGTACATATACGAGAAAGTAAAAAGTATACTTTGGGCGACGATAGATGGCAGCTGGGAAAATGGTGAAAAAAACGGAAAGCTGATTCAGTCCAAAGAAATTGAGGCATGAAAAAAGTGTCAGCTTTGCCACACAGATATCCAAGATATTTAAGAGTTTTGCGTTTCTCATCAGAGAAAAAATTTGAGTACGCCAATGTATTTTTTTTTAAATTTTAAATTATTGTGAATTTGATACATAATAATACAAAAATTATTGCAACCTCTTTCGATACAAAGCTACTTGATGAAAAGTATGATTTTCATGATACATCAAGAATTCAGTATTATTAGTAACCATGATAACACATCCATTTCGCATGAAGTAACTGTTTAATAATGAGACTCTAAATGACTCTTTGATTGTTCATTTCTATCTACTTTCCGAGCTAAAAAATTGAAAATAGAAATTTTTGGCAAAATATATATTAAAAGTAGACGCGCTGAAACAGCACGTACTTTCTCACAGTATTGGAAATAGTTGGTAATATTGAAATATTTGAATTCTGCCCCACTAAAAACTCAGTTATAACTTGAATAATTCCAATTCAATCAATTCAATTGATTTTACCGTATTTGCAGCATATTATACGGAAATGAAAGAATAATTAATATTTCAAACAAGCTTGCTTTGCATTACATGACTAGCATTACAATACTTTCTCTATAATTACTGCATATGAAGTATGAGCAAAAGTAAAAAATGAGAGAGATTACTGTATTGCGCTACAAAGCATACTTCATCATTTATAAACGGAATAGAGTTTTAAAACTATCAATTGATACTCGAATAAATTGATAATTCACCAAAAAGTATCACCTTATAAACAAGAAAAAATGTTATATGTGTATGTATTAGTGTTTAACTAACTTATGTTTCAAACAGCTAATGAAATGGTAAAGATATAAAAGTATTGACTAGACACTAATACCAAATTCTTATAGGTGACAAAAATTATTTGAAATTTGCTGTTTCTTGAAAAACAGTGTTTCGAAGAAGAATTGACCTGGTATAAATTCACTCTGTTCTTCTCATTCAATCAATTTTTTCCATGTCAACACAATATTCTTACTGATGGCATGATGCTCACCAAAAAATGCTAAAAATGAATCTATAAAAACACACAGTAATCTGAATCATTGGTACCCTTATACAATTGGACAGGATACTGAGGATTTGTTAGGGAAATTAAATGTAGAAAGTATGAATAGAAGATGGAAAGTCTATTTTCCAAATGTAAATACAAAAGCATTGAAAGTGTAACATTATACAAAAAAATATTGAAAAATCTATCTTCCCTGTAAAATGTTACTTTCATTCCAATTACACAATTTTTGTTCCAGGAAACTATCACTTTGTACCACACTTACCAAAAAGAATTGCAACACTTATCCATTTATTCAAACAAGTAATCATTTACTTTAGGATAATAACCAGTTGCAAAATGATGTAGTTCTTTCTGGATATCCAATAGCAAGCCAGATGCTCCAATCCGGAATAAATCAGCATTTAACCATTCTTTACCAAGTTGCTCTTTAATCAAAATAAGGTATTGCAAAGCATCATTTGCTGTTCGTATGCCTCCAGCAGGTTTGAAACCCACCTATGATAATCAAGACAGCTTAATCCAAGAACAGAAAGAAATTATATAACAATAAATTAAAAACAGAAAATACTCACTTTATAACCTACTTGTCTGTAATAATCTCCAATTGCACGACACATAACATAGCTAACCACTAAAGTAGCATTTACAGTTTCTTTACCTAAGGTATTCAAAATGGATTAACAAAACATCTCGAAAAACATGTTATCCAAAATATAAAATGTTCTCTTCTCACCTGTTGAAGTTTTAATAAAATCTGAACCAGCCATCATTGCAACAAGGGATGCTTTATAAACATTAGTCAAAGAACCAAGTTCACCAGTGGCTAAAATGCTTTTCATATGCGCATGTGGCCCACATGCTTCCTTCATTTGCTTTAATTCATCATATAAGAACTTCCACTGCTTCGTTAGAACTAAACTGCGATCAATTACGATATCAATTTCTGTTGCTCCATTTGCAACAGCTCCACGAATCTCTTCTAGACGAGTTTTCAGGGAGTACTGTCCACTAGGAAATCCAGCAGCCACTTTTAACACAAAATGCAGTGCGGTAAATAATAATTTTCTTTAAAAAAACTGACCAAAATATAACTAGATATCTGTGAGGTGAGACAGCATAAAAAATTGGTATATACATTTTGCAAAATCCATTCTAATTTTTTTATGAAAAGATTTTAAAAAAATGAAAATATAAGCACTTAGAATTATAAAAGTAGTGTAAAGCCATATGGCATCATCTGCGAGGATTCGCGGTGCGGATTGCGTCATCTTCCGGCGCCCCTCTTCCCCCCGAACCGGACGGTTCCGAGTCCGACTATTCGCGAGCCGCGTGGGAAGGTGGAGCAAGTGCCGGTTGTGTCGAGACGAGCGTCGGCCAGGTATTTATTCGCCGCTGCTGACGGCCGCCGAGAGCAGTCGGAAGTAAGCAGCCGCGAGTCAGTCAGTGTATGTAATCAGTAGTAAGCAGTCAGTCCGTCAGTGTGTCCGAAGTGGAAGTTGAGCTGTAAAGTGTGCATTGCGGTGAACAGTGGGTGAACATCAGTTTGCAGTCTGAAGTGGAAGCTGAGCTGTGAAGTGTGCATCGCGGTAAACAGCAATGCAGTGGGCCCTGGTCTGCGCTGTGAATTGTGATCAGAAAATGTGAAAAAATCAGCGCAGTGGACCGTGGACAGTGCATCGGACTGGGTGAAACTGTAGAAGACGTGATCAGTGTAAATAAATAATCAAATTGCAGTGAACAGTGTAAATAAATAATCAAGAGAAGAACACAAGGGCTGTGTAATCTACCTGTAAATAGATCAAGTATATTTCGTGTAACATTGTTAAGGAATAAACGTTTTTCTTTCCTTTCCTTTGTACAAGAGCAATCATATAAAGAAACTAAATACATAATACTTGTATTATAATATTGCAAATTATATCCAATCAAATCTCTTCTGCCTTTTTGTGATTCTTTCACACAAAAATTACAGGAGATTTGAAAATGCAATTTTCCAAGATTGGCAATTTATAAACTTCCTCCCTAAAACTTCATTCTGGCACTCTATTGACAAAACAAACATTTTAATACACTTGAGAAAAAATTAAACCAGTTGGAATTACTTACCAGATGCAACTCCAATTTTGGGATAAAGATTCATCCTGTTCAAGGCTTCCACAGCATCGGTAACACGTGAAGGATACACACAAATTGCAGCTGTCCTAATGACTAAGTCTGAATCTGCGAGTCCAAGAGCAGCTACTGTATCCATTGGCAAGGGTTCTGCAGCCTTTGAAAATCAAACAGAAACTGAATTTTTCACTACATGATATACTTAACAAACAATAGGTTAGTGTGATTGTTTGATTGATTGATTAGGGTTTAGAGTGCTTCAACTACTGAGGTCATTGGTGTCTGCGTCAATTTTTATTTTCCCGTATACGTACGTATATTCGGAGTGATACACGTCGTATAGGAAAAGTTGAGCTATGCTGTGGAAAATCGATTTCGAGATTTCAAACGAAATAAGCGTTTAGGGGTCCTCTGAAACCGAAAAAGTGGTTATCTTTCAAAGATAACCTGACCGTCTATCTGTCTGTCAACACCACTAGCGCCTAAACCATACATAGGATTATTTCCAAATAGAAGAAACCCCTATCCAACTGGCTCAAGTCGAAGCTTTGAGATTTTGAAAAAACGTTCTTTAAAATTTGGGAGTACTTTACATGAACATTTCGAAAATTTCTCGAAAACGGCTCCAAATATTTTCTTTAAATTTCTTGTAAAAAATAGACTAAAATACATTTATAGAAGTGGCACAGGTCTGATTTTTATGGTAACTCTGAAGTTTTGAAAATTTCCAAAGTATGGATTTTTCGGTGTCTTCCTAAAACTACAAAATTAAAGATAGAGATTTTACCTTCAAATGAAATTTGTTGTCCATAATTAGTTATTTTATATAGATCATGTACATTGTTTTGAAAATTTTAGTAGTTTGCGTGCAATACTTTGTGCAATTTTAAAAATAAGAAAGATTTTCTAAAAAACCGCTCCAAATTTTTTTCTTTAAACTGTAAGTAGGGCTAGTGCTAAAAGTAATCTATGAGATAACATTAAAGTCAGCTTGCTCTATCCTTTTGTTTTTTCAAAAAATACATAAATGTAATTCTTTTGACTTGTCTCTCACGTCGCTAATATTTACATTAGCGGCGATTTGTTCACAGTATTATATTTATGATTATATGTTTTTTAAATAATGTCATATAAAGTGTCTGGAAAACTCAACCGTTTTCTGTGAAAAGTAGCTCAAAATTCTCCTCTTTCAGAAACGCTCGGACACTATTTTCTCAAAAACGGATGCAAATTTTTTCTTCAAAGTTTTCAAAGTGATACTGATAACTGCACTCTTTAACAAGTCGCAAAGTTTATTTTGGAAATTTGTTGATTTTTTTTCAAAAATGTTTGGTGTTTTTTATTATTATTTGCCGTTAATATGCAGATTTTGTGCAATTTGTTTTGAGAGTTAAAGTGTTTCAAATGACCTCAAATGAAGTTTTTCGAAAACTCATAAATGTCCTGGGAAAATGAGCTCAAATTTCGAATTTACAGTAGCGCTTAAACGCCATTTTCTTAAAAACGGTTCCAAATTTTTCAAAGAAAAGGATTAACAGAACCCTTTATCACAATCAGTTTAAAAGTGGTATTACGCCAATCTGTTTGCCATTCTCTGGAGATGGATCGTTTCAAAACACCTTGACATCAGACGATGGTACAGAAATGTCAATACGGGTCTTCCGCGTCACCGATTTCGGCGTCTGATCAGTCAGCCCTGCAATTCCCACAAAGCTTGGGAACAAATTAATAACAGTAAAATCTGTCTACACAGGAATCGATCGACACAACAAATGTTTCGGTTTAGGGACATTTCCGTATTATACAGGGTTATCCATTTAACTACACTTGTGATATTGATATTTCCGTTATGAAACTAGTAAATTAATGTAAGTAACGAATTAAAGTAAAGTAAAAATTACAGGCCTTTATTATGATTATTAAAATAGTTTGTAGTTATCGTATTGTTAAACTGATTGTGAAATTCATAAAAATACGCACCACTTTACTTCCTAATGGCAGAAATTGGACTGCTTGCTGACTCTTTCAACGCACAATGACTCGCAGGCCTGAGTACAATAACTATCTGATACCTTCGCATGGCCTTGAGCAATGGGTCTGTGGCCGAAGGGGTTTCGAATTTTGAACGGGGGGTAGGGAGAGGTGCAAATAGACCATACACCTTCCCACGCTCGGAGAGAAGGGGGAGGGAATCCCCTACGGCCAACGCCTCGAGGGACTAGTGACTACGTCGAATTCTACGCTGTAAGCTGAAGCCCCTCTCCTTCACAGTGCTGTTGCCACGACTAAATCGTGTGGGATAGAGAATTTAAAACACACTTGCAGATTCATTCATAACATTAAAAATATCTCGCGTCTTTGCCAATCGCATTATATTCGAAGGAATATAATATTATAAAAATCCCCCCTTTAGGACGTGAAAAAAACGGTCTGTTTCCGCGTTGGACAGACCCGGTTTTATGATGTATAAAATATATAACTTCACGGGTCAGAGAAATTTTGCCGGTCAGCGCTAGTACATATTCCAGTTTTTGACAGATTTTACAGTACCATCATAGTGCCAAGACAGAAGACGATGAATCAGGTTTAAAACTGATTTCGTCAAGAAGTCTGATGAAGAACGGAAGACAGCTTGAAGAAAGCTGAGAGAATTAGAGCAGAGAAATAATCGCCGCAACGACTCTTTACTCCATTTATTTCATGGCTTCAAGAATTGCATACATCTCAGCAGTGAATATACATTACTGAGAATGAAGCCGATATGATTAGCGATTCTGATATAATAACCACATGCCACTGCATCATCGTACGATGAATCATCTGCGTATAACAATGTACTCGTGTGACCCAGATAGACTGTCCACGTTTGCTGAAAGTGCATCTGGTAAACAAGAGCACTAGTAGTTTGTTTGAGAAGATTGGAGAGTCTGAGTTCAAAATTTGGGCGGAGAAGTTCCCAAAGGGGAATGGGATTATTTGGGAGTTTCCCAGGCGTGGAAAGACCGACATTAAGACCCCGCAAGAGAGTTCCCAATCCAATACCTGTACCCGGAGCAGCGACGTTCAAAGAATATGTGAGGTCGCGTATTCAGGACGGATAATTACTCGTCGACAAGAATGAGTTCCGATACTTAGCAACATAAGACGCTAATAGAATATCTCGTCTTCTTTTTAATGACGGCTCCCCCGCCTCAGTCAGAAGACACTCGAGGCTGCTAGTGCGATATGCACCCGTTGAGATGCGTGTGGTGGTGTATGCTGTGTATGCTTTTGATGGGTCCGAGAGTGGAGAAGGTCGGAGAGAGAATCATAAACTTCACTATCGTAATCCAAAACTGAACGGATCAGTGTTCTATGTAGCCGCAATAAGCGAATCCGCCTGGCTCCTCATTATCTTCCACTCAGCTTGAAGAAGATGAGGGAAAAAACTGGTTTGTAGTCAACGGATACGAGCACGCCACGTGAGAGACTTGATTGTGAGTCCCAGGAATCTGAGAGATTCAGCCAATGAAATCTGATTTCCTCCCAAGTAAAGGACTGGTTTGCTATGCAAGTGGTATATCCCACCGAAATGCACACCAGTTGATTTAGTAGTAGAGAAGTTGAACCATGTTGACGTGCTCCGTTCGTGGAGCTTATAGAACAGCATTTAAAGGACCCTCTCGATCATACAGATGCTGCTGGACAACCAAGATACGGCAAAACCATCCACAAACAGCGATGCCTTTACAGGTTCTCACCCGATCGTCGCTATACCATTTATGGCGATGGTAAACAGAATGACACTTAGCACCTAGCCTTGGGGGTTTTCTCGAGGGAGACTGTCACCAACACGAACTCGGAAAGATCTAGTCGATAAAAAAATTCCAGGAATCGTGGAAGCTTCCCCCTTAATCCACACGAGTGCAAGGTTCGCAGGATGCCGAACCTCCAAAAGGTGTCGTGGGTTTTTTTAATAGTACAGTCACAAGGGATTCCACTACGGGACGCGGTTTACCGGTTGATTGGGGAGTCGCGGTTTACCTGATTTCGAAATTGCGTTAGAAGCAGTAAAGAGTATAGCGCTATTGAGATGTGCAGTTATATCATCCACAGCGTCGGTAGGAACATCCCACAGGGCACCATTAGCTTGGTTTATCTACCAGTCAGCACGTTGCACGATCCAATGACGGGGCGAGCAAACCCTCGACGTAGTTGTCGATGTGGACATTAGTGGGGATATTGTCGCTTTTATACGTATCTTCTAATATGGTCCATTGTATAGCAGTAGCGAGAGAAGGGCTACGAATGGATGTGTCAATAGCCGAGCACGAATTTGTAGCTACGGCGAAGTGTGTTGGTTCACCGGTATTGAGATTCACCAGCTTAGTAGCGTCGGAGATCGATTCCAAGACGGCACCCCTTTGTCGAGTACGGGAAGACCTTCAACGTGAGCTGCGGGCGTTTACATCACCATAATCAAGGCGTAGACCCACGCCTTTTATTTCGCCTAGGAAGTAATCGACTGACACCGTTTGACCTGGACAGATATAGATGTTACATACAGTGAGTGCGAGGGATGGGAGGTACACCTGCACACACACTAAAGGTGTGAATACGAACATCTGCAGAAAGCAGCGACGGTGAACCAAAGTAGCAACTCCGCCATGAGCACGGAGTCCGACATCGACATCAATCCCAAATGGCGTAAAGCCACTATAGGATGGGGGGGGGTGATGGAGCAAGATATGTCTCCTGTAAACAAAACTTGAAGGTTTTTATGAGACAAAAGTTTTAGTTCATCCCTTCCAGAGAAAAATCCATTAAGATTCCAGGAGAGGAGAGCTGTAGTTAAGAGTTTAAGAAGTCGTTAAGAGGACTTTTTCTTTTCCTTTTTCAATTTCCGCCGCTGCTGTCTGAAAGGGCGTGAGTGCTTCCCCTCTGAAATTTCCTCTCCAAGGCAGACAGAGTAAGTGATGACTCAGAGCAGGTCTCAGGATTTAAGACCATCTACAAGGTCAATGTTTGGAAAATAGATCATTTTGAAGTGAGTCCGGACCATATTAGACCCAGGAAAAGAAACTATCTCTCAGATCTTTTGAATCTCCCTCTCCCTCGGAAAGGTAGGGCACCTGGTAGAATTGGCTGTATGATCTCTTTCACAATTCACACAGTAAT